TCTCTCTCTCTCTCTCTGTGTGTGTGTGTGTGTGTGTGTGTGTTACAGCTCTAATAGAAAGGTATCCTTGGCAGTGGGAAGCCAAGGAATACCTACAGCTCTGAAGGGAATGTAAGCCCCTCAAGCTACACTAGTGGCCAGGCCTTCCCCTGATGACCTCCAACTGCCAGGTTCCACCTACAGGACACTCTTAACTGCCCTCACTGCTGGACCCAGCCCCCACCCTACAGAGTAAAAAGCCTAATCTCTAGACATGAAATTCCACCAGTCTCCACCCTAGAAAGCTCCACCATGAAAAGTTCCACTCTCCTCCCCAAGAAACTGTATATAAACCCTGTATACTGTTCAGTTCTCTACTATTTCTTGCCTGAGCAGAGGCAGCCGCCCTCCTATTTTTTTCCCACACAGCAAATCTCTTGTGTGAGGTTTGTTGTACAGTGTGATTTTGTGGTATTTTTTGGATCCCATCTGCCAGGATATCTTTCCATCCAACCTGTAATGCTTACAATGTACCTTCAAGTCTTACTGTGTAGCCTAGACTGGCTGTGGACTCACTATCTACATCCACCCTTCTGGAATTACAGATGTTTGCCACCACATTCAACCAATTATTCTAATTTTTTTAGTATTCACAAAAGTATTTTTCTGGGCTTAATTACAAGTTTATCATAAACTGTTCAGTAGCTTCTTAGTCTAATTGATAGATATATAAATATATATGTACATTGAATGTAAATTGAAGCTCAAGTGTAAGTCAATTTGTAAATATAGTGCTTATCATTTCCTTACAGTTATTATTTTCAGATAAAACATTAGAATTTTTCTTCAGTGTTAAATTAAAAATTTGTTTTTACTTTAAGCTGGTCTATCAGTAGAACTAGGATTTCAAAAGAAAAGTTAAAATTACTCAATCTTTTTAAAGCTTTAGGAAACATTCATGAAGAACTGTTTCTTCATGAATGAAGAAGGAACTTCTAGTTTTATATCACTAGAGCATCTAGTGATTTTCTTGGAATATGAAACTATGCAGTTGTCAAATTGCTAAGATCAGCATGTATATAGAATAGAGTAAATTTAATTGGCCAATCCAGAGTCAAGAGAAATTAATAAATCATAAGATTTGTGTTCTTACTTGCTGCAAGCCAAAAGAATGTTATAGAGATTCAGCTGTATATAATAAAGCTATACCTAGATGAGTCAAAGAATTCTTCTAGAGGAAAGTCAAATATCAAGGAATATTTGATGATATTTGGTTTTTAATAGATCAGCTTTCTTCTGCTGTGAATTTCTTGTGTGCTCATATACTACTAGGCCTTAATGGCAAACAGTATATAAGCTTCTCAGACCTACTGCTGATCTGAACTAGGTAACACCCCTACAGAGCCTAGGAGACAGGCAGGTATGTAGATGCATACCTTTGTTTCTTGTACAAATGAAGCTCAGACCATCCCTTTCCTTCAGGCCTTCTGTCCAGAGCTATTGACTCAGGACAAAAGAGTTTTTTGCATAACCAGGTGTAGTGAAGGCTGGGGCAGAATTTCCTGGTCAGAGCAGAGTCACCTGGCCAGAAAAGGGAGAACAGGGAAGAGTTTTTGGTTTAATAGGGATTGGAGAAATTTAGGAGAAGAGGAAGGAAAGATGAAGGATGGAGGAACGGAAGATAAGGATGAGATTGGGAGTATAAGAGCTTTGTTATTACTAGGGTTATGAGAAGACAGAAAAAGAAGGGACAGAGAGGAACTGAGTGTCAGAACGGAACTGAAGCTATGTAGATAGAATTTTGTCTTAGAGAAATAAAGTAGACAGACTAAAGAGCCCGGTATACTTAGACTCTTTCCCCTCAGAATAGCCCCACGCCAGCCATAGCATCTTCCTTAGGACCCTGGGAGGAATCTTCTCAGGGCAGGCCCCTGGGAAAATTTCAATACTTACTAACCTATGTAATTACTGCAAGTACTTTTCAGCAACTGTGGAAACTTGAGTTACATGATTTACATCATACTTGCAGCACCATTTTCCTAGCTCTCTTCCTCTGATTCTTTTGGGTATAACAAATCACTTGTAAGAAAAATCATTTTCCATTTTCCATTCCTAGTTCTCTTTCTCTGGGTTTCAATTTCTCCTAAATCCTGGGTTAAAATTGCTAACAGACTTTTCGCATTTTGTAGGATGTACAAAGAAGTGTGAAATGAGATAAGCCCCAGTGTGGCTCTACTTAAATATTGAAGAACTTAGGAACTGTTAAAGCAAAGTGCCCTCACCTCACATGGTAGTGCCTACACGTGCTTATAATCCCAGCACTTGAGCAGCAAAAACAAGGGGATCAGGAGAAGTTTTTGTTTTGCAGGGGCATTTGTAGCAAAATCCTGTCTCCAAAAACAAAACAACAATAAAACAGAGTAGCTGGTTCACTGTAGCAGAATACCAAAGTGTGCAATTGAAAGGCTCTACCAAGCCTCTGAAGTAGTCAGGAAAGCAAAGTTGTGAGCTAAACTATACACATTGTACAATAGTATGAAATTTTAGTTATTAATATAACAATGTAATATAACTATGTAATACTCTTCATTCTTTCTTTAAATCTAGCTCATGATTGATACACCTACCAGTCCAATTACCAGTGGACTTCCATTATTCTTTGTGATAACAGTAACCGCCATAAAACAGGTATGTAATACTTCCTGCCTTAGTTCTTCCAAAATTCATTCAAAAATCGTAAATATTTCTACTCCAAATTAACAGTATTGTGAAAACAATTTATATAACAAAGCAGCAGATTGATTTGATACACAACAAATTATATTTCAGGTACCTTGTGACTCATGAATGATTTCAGTATTTAAAATATATTATTGTTGCTGGGTGGTAGTAGCGCACGTCTTTAATCCCAGCACTCGGGAGGCAGAGGCAGAGGCAGGTGGATTGAGGCTAGCCTGATCTACAGAGCAAGTTCCATGATAGGCTCCAAAAGCTACACAGAGAAACTTTGTCTCGAAAAACAAAATATATGTATATATATAATTTGTGTGTGTATGTATATATATGTATATATATGTGTGTGTGTGTGTGTTACTGTCTTGACATAGGAATCATTCTAAAAATAAATACATGTACAGGCTAGTTTTTGAAGTAAATTAGTATAATCATTTTTTTTTGTAATTTTAGTGATGTTTAAAAAGAAATATGGTTCAAAGGAAGTAATTTTATGGAATGGAGCATTTGCTTTTGGCATGAACTTTCCTAAACTTTACAGTTTTCCTTGATAGTTATTTTGTGTGTGTGCTAGTACCCTAATGGAAATAATTTAAGCCAGATTATAAGTTGATGTTGAGATTTAGGAAAAGAGAAATCAAATATTAGATCAGCATACTAATTAAGAAATAAATCCTTTAAAATGTCAAATTGATATTGCTACCACTTCTCAAAACATCTAGTCAGGTCTCAGTGGTATAGAGATGATTCCTTTCACTAGACAGAGATCATTGCCTTTTATTACCTAAATAATAAAATCCTCTGTTTTATAATATGTAATGATAATATGTTGATTGATGGAGAAATTGCACTTCTGAGATGAAGTGTATTACTTAATTACCTTACTTTTTTTCTCTATTTATATCAAAATTAATTACATGGTGTGTGTGTGTGTGTGTGTGTGTGTGTGTGTGTGTGTGTGTGTGTGTGTGTGAAATTTGCTGGTGAAAGTCAGAGGACAACTCATGGGAGTCAATTCTTTCTTCTACCACGTAGATCCCAGGTATTGAACTTTTATCAGGCTTAGTAGCAGGTACCTTTACCTCTTGAGCCATTCCACCAGCCCTACTTTATTTTGTTTGAAGATGAAGGATAAGAAGGGCCTATAGATGATCAAGAATGTTATATAACTACTATGTCAGAGTAGTAGTCTTGGCTCTCACCAAATTTGATCTCCTTTCTTCTCTCTTCTGTTGGAGACTAGGATCTGTTGATGTAATCTAGTAAGCCTCTGAATCACCCCATATGGTTACATATTTCCGTAGGTTTACAAGTGTCGTTTATTTCATCAGAATAACATGTATTTGTTCTTTGGGCCTGTCTTCTATATTTTCACTAAGTGATTTCTGGTCAGTCTCTATGCTGATGTTCTTAAATTTACATTCTAAAACTATTTGAACCATTTAAACACATGCACACACTCATTTGTACATTTGAACACTTCACAAGAATCTTACATAGAACTCGTGGTGTTTCCCCCTGTGAAGCCATGCTGCTTATTAATGGTGCTATAGTTCTTTGACTCTATCTCTGCCCTTAAGATGGACCTAATTTGTCTAAGTAACCAGCACCCCTTGCTTAGACCATTGTGGTGTTCTCTTTTACTCTTAGCCTCTCTGTTTTTACACAACAGCTGAGTTGATCTCAACATTGGATCATGCTGCTCTTCTGTTTAAAACTATTCAGGGAATTCTCATCAAATGTCAGTGTCTTTAGTCTGTGGAGACATACACAGTGTAGTCCCTGCTTCCTAATTAACTTTGTACAACTTTTACGTCTACTCAGTGTCTTCTGACCACATTCCTCACCTCATCATCAAACACAGTAAGCATGCTTCTATTACAAAAGCCTTATCATTTGCTATCTTCTTTTCTTGAAAAGTTCTTCCAGATTATTACATAACTCAGTCCCTGATTTTTTTCAAATACTCAAGCTTTGGCTTTTCTTGGCTATTTACCATCTTCCATTTCCTTTTTAAATATTATTTGTTCATATCATTTGTCATGAGCTGGTGTTCTTTTTTATTCAGATGTTTAGCACAACCAGGGCAGAGACTGTCGTGTGTTTTCAGTGAATGATAGACCAAAACTATTCATGTGTGGGGGCTTTGATAAACATTTGCTGAATAAATGAATGAAGGAGCCCATTGAATATTTCTTAAAGCAAAATAAAATATAGTAATTTTTGTCCCTAACTCCTAATAAATATTTGGCTAACTGTCGACTGCACTTAACTAGAAAATGATACCATTAACTGACTTGGAAAAAATTATGATTAATGCATATTTACAAAATAAGTTTAATAATAATTGACCACATTTCGCCTTCCAAAACTGGTTAAAAATAGAAGTAATCTAAAGGAAGGAAGCAAGTACCTCATACTTCTGTTAGTACAGTTGCTGCAGATGAGCACTAAATTTAAATAAAAGCCAGACAGTAAAGACAAAGGGGTAAAATGCAAATGTTCAAAGAGAATATTTGTTCTGATAGGATTCATTCATTCTCTCTTTTTCTTCCTTTCTCTTTTTCTTCTTCCATTTTCCTAAAGATTGTATTTTAACTACATATATGTCTCCCCACTCTCCTTCAAATTCATGGTCTCTTTTTCATCAGTTGTTATTACATGTATATGTGTATTTATATATACATATATGTTTCTAAATATAACCTAATGAGTCCATGTAATGTTACTTGTTTGTATGTTTTCAGGGCTTTTTGGCACTGGACAACTAATTGGTGTGTTCTTCCTGCTCCTAGCTTTAGACACTTGCCTATAGTTCTTTGTGTAGGGTTGAAACCTCATGGGCTTTCCCCCATGCTGTTTGGCATGTTCGTTGGTGTCCTCCTTGTTCAGCTTATGTTTGGGCAGTCGTGTTGGTGAGACTTCATGGGTGTAGCTTCTGATGTGGCTTAGTAGACACAATCTCAAGCAAATTCCCTGAGTCTGGCTCTTATACTCTCTCTGCCTCCTCTTCCACAATGTTCCCTGAGCAATAGGTATATGGATGTTTTGTAGATCTGTTGGGATTTTATAGATCTGATTTTGGTTTTCTGTAGTGGTCTCTGTTGTTAAGAGAAGTTCCCTTGATGAGAAGTAAAGATGACATTATCTATGGACAAATGTTTTTACCACCCCTGCCACACACACAGACACACTCATGCCCATGTCAGCAACCAAAATTAAACTGAGTGGGTCACACATACACAAAAAAACATCACAGGAGGAATGGGCTTGTTGAGAGGAAGGTTTCTAGAGGTGAGAGTGAAAATGACTAGAATATATATGTATGAATGTATGTATATATGTCAGAGTATCAACGATATTTATGAGATCTCAGGTAGATATATTAATAATACAGTTAAATATTCACCTTATGAATGCAGAAGAGATATGAGTTGGAGAAAAGCTATTTTAGAATTACCAGCATATTTTATATTATATGAATACATAGAAATGAATGGAATAATTTTGCTACTAAGAGTGAAGGATGTGGAAAGGACTCAAAAAGGTGACAGAAGAAACCTTTGCAAGAAAACAAGGAAAGGTCAGGAGCTCAGAATACCAGGAGCATGTATGTAATGGAAACAGAGATGATGTTTCTGGAAAGAATGAATGTCAGAATTGTTAGTTTTTTGTAGGCATCTAAGTACCCTAATAGAATTCTGGTGAATGTTCCAGGGAAGTGCGTGCGTGCGTGCGTGCGTGCGTGCGTGCGTGCGTGCGTGCGTGCGTGTGTATTTGTTTTCTCATGCGATAAAGTATGTTCAAAAGTATTCTGATAGGTTAATTTTTCTTCTTTATTTATAGGGGTATGAAGACTGGTTACGTCATAACTCAGATAATGAAGTAAACGGAGCTCCCGTTTATGTTGTTAGAAGTGGTGGCCTTGTAAAAACTAGATCAAAAAACATTCGGGTATGTATATGGAAAGTTATATAAAATTGTATTTTGGTTTTATAGTTTTAGTCTTAATTTTCTCTGTATATTTTTTTATATATTATAAAATCCTCTGTGTGTGTGTGTCTCAGTGGCAAGAGTACTTGTTTCCCATGCTTGAGCTTCTGAGTTCATCTACATTGTAAAGCATGCATACAAAGTAAAATATTGTGATAAGCCACCTATCTAGAACAGAATGAAAACAAATCCTTGCCATTCACAATGTGTCTAATCACTTTTCTCCTAATTTCTTCTAGGTGGGTGATATTGTCCGTGTAGCCAAAGATGAAATTTTCCCTGCAGATTTGGTGCTTCTGTCCTCAGATCGCCTTGATGGTTCGTGTCATGTGACAACAGCTAGTTTGGATGGAGAGACGAACCTCAAGGTTTGTTCATGTGTATGTTTTGATATTACTCTGGGTGAATATAATGCTTCATGATTATAATTTTTCCTTTTGGTGAAGTGATTAAGTTTGTCCTGATGAAGTGGGTTCTGTTTTTTTACTTTTTTTTAAAGTTACTAAAACTTTTAAAAATTATAGTTGTTGGGTTGAGACAATGACTGTTGGTAGAGTACTTGTTACACAATACGGGCATCTGAGTTTGGATCCTAGTATCTCCTCAATAAAAAGACAGGCACAACAGCACCTGCTTGTAATCCTGTGCTAGGGAGGTTTAGATAGGGATCCCTGGAGCTCGATAGCCAGTCTGACCAAAATGATAACCTTTATGTTCAGTGAGAGACTCCATCTCAGTGAGGAAGGTGGAGAGATTGAAGAAGACTCCCTTGTCAACTCTCAGCTCCATACACACATGCACGTCTGACATCCGCACACTCATCTGCACAGACGGACACACAGACATGCATAAACATATATGCAAGTAAACTTTAAAATTTAAAAAGTTATAAAGTAAAAAAGTACTATTATGTGTTTAAGGGCATCTCACCCTGCCTTTGTTCATGTTGAAAGTGGAAATGGAAAATGTTTTAGGAAACAAAATCTTTTAATAATTTTGATGCTTGTTTTTTCTTTTTTCTTTTTTTTTTTTTTTTTTAAACCCAGGCTGGCCTCAAACTTCTGACAATACTAAATACTAAATTCCAAATACTATGATTATAGATATGGACCACCATGTCTAGCTTGATGTATTTTTAGTCAAGAAACAAGTATAAATTTGCCCAATTTTCAGAGTGTAATAGGGGATGAAAATCCACATTTCTCCTACTAAATAGGATTTAATGAATCTTTAGACAGTTGTGATTGCTAATGGTCTCCATAGACAGGTAAATGCAGCAATTCGTCTGTCCTGCCTATTTCTAATTGTCTCTCCTCTGCTGTCTTAGCAGAGTGATCTGTATGTAATCTAGTGCGCCATAATTTCATCTAGAAGACATTGAAGCAGTTGAGATCTGAGGTCATATCTAGGTACACATTAATCCCTTTTCAATTTTTTTTTTTCAGACGCATGTGTCAGTTCCAGAAACAGCAGTATTACAAACAGTTGCCAACTTGGATAGTCTCATAGCTGTGATAGAATGCCAGCAGCCAGAAGCAGACTTATACAGGTATGGTGTATTATTTGGTGAGCTCATCTTCATTTACAGCTTCTATTAGAAGTAAAATTCTAATAGAATTTTATTAAATTTTTATTTAATAAAAATAAAATTTTCATTAAACTTATTAATTTTATATAAAAAATTCTGATAGCTCAGCTACTCTTAACAAGACCTTGTTTTTGTAACCATGAACATTAAAATAATTCTTTAAAAATTTTGTTATTTATTTTGTGTGCATGTGCATATGTGTTTAGGCATGTGCATGCCACTGTGTCTATATGAAGGTTAGAGGATTACTTTCAGGGGTCTGTTTTCTCCTTCTAACATATGAGTCTTGGGGAACTCAGGTTATCAAACTTGGCAGCAAGTGCCTTTACTCATGAGACATCTTGTTGGCCCTTAAAATGAAAGTCTTACCTGATTTGGTAATAATATTTCTAATACCTTCAGCTAAAGTGAGAGACAGAAAGCAGAATTTGATAAAATTCTAAGCAAAAGATACTAATTAATTTTTTATATTAGATTGTGTGTGTGTGTGTGTGTGTGTGTGAGAGAGAGAGAGAGAGAGAGAGAGAGAGAGAGAGAGGAGAGAGAGAGAAAGTGAAAGTGTTTATGTATGTGTTCATGTTGGTGTGTGCACCTGTGTGTGCATGCCTGTAGAGACCAAAAATCAATGTGCAATATCTTTCTTTATCATTTTCCACCTGATTTCTTGAGATAGAATCTCTTACTAATCTGGAGTTCATAGATTGGGCAAGGCTGGCTGGCTGGCCAATGAGCTTCCGGGTTCTGCCTGTCCCTGTCTCATCAGCATTGGGCTTAGTTAGATGTGTGCACTGCTGCACCCAACTTTTATTTAGGTACTAAGAATCAAGCTTGATTCTCATGCTTGATAGCAAACTCTACTGACTAAGCCATCTTCTCAGCCCTGTAAATACTTTAGGTAGGACATATTAAGTTGAGAGGAAAATGTTACCAATAACACTTATGTCATGACCCTGTTTTTGGTTTTAAGATAGGGCTCAAATGTGTATATGTAAAGTCTAGAATGCATATATACTCCCAAACATTAACAGAGTTAAACAGTGAGATTCCTAATGATTGTTGCCTTAGTTTATTCCTTTGTTGCTCTGATAAACACAACCAAAAGCAACTTGGAGAGGAAAGTGTTTATTTCATCTTACAGTTATAGTCCATCATGAAGGGAAGTCAGAGCAGGAACCTGGAGGCAGAACTTGGAGCAGAGACCATGAAGAACAATGTTTACTGACTTGCTCCCATGACTTTCCCAGTTTTCTTTTTTATTCAGACAAGTACCACCTGCCCACAGTGGCCTTGGCCTTCCCACATGAATTTGTAATCTAGAAAATGCTCCATAGATTTGCCTAGAGGCATTTTTCTCAGTTGAGGTTATCTTTTCCCAGATGACTCTAGCTTGTTCCATATGATAAAAACCTAATCAACAAAGCTGTTACTTCCTCTTTGCCAGCTTATTTTATCTGAATCAGTTTGTAAAATATGTATATGTGTGCTAGTGTATAGCTCATATTTCTGATCAGAAAGGAAGAATGAAACAGTTGTTTATACTTTGGGGAAAAGAAGAATTGAAGACAGGATAAGAGACTGCAAGAAGGGTTGGTGCAATGTAGGACTGGCCTGAACACATACTGGAATGCTGGAATCAAGGTTAACAGCATAAGGAAAAAGAAAGCAAAGTCCTTTCTGGACTTAGCTTGGTAACAAAAACAAAAAACTGGATCAGATATCATTTCTTAAAGGTGTTCAGGGAAACACCAGATGAATTGGATCTAAATTTAAAGTCTAGGCTGGAGTTGGGATACACAAACTTCTCTGGAACAAGGAGAATAAAAACAACACTCCCTGATATAAAGATCTGATGGAAGTAAAAATGAGAAATCAGAAAGAAATATGAATTCAAATTCTTCATCAGATAAAAGATTTGGGCCTGGAATGGGAAGGGCAATAGGGGACATTTGGAAGGGAATGCTGAAATTTATCTACTCCATGGGCATCAGGCATGCATGCATGTGGTTCATGGACATACATGATGGTGAGCATCAGGCATGCATGCATGTGGTATGTAGACATACGTGCAGGCAAAACACTCATATATATAACACAAAAATAATAAATTATTTTTTTTTTTAGAAATCTCTTTACCTAATGATTAACTTGAAGCTTTGTCCAGAATTTGCTTTTGACTGTAAGGTAGCTGTTCTCTTTAATCAACTGTATACTTATGCTATTTTCAGTTGTGGAAACTGGAGCTGAAAATCTACACTGTGGAATCCATTATGAGAAGAGGTCATTCACCCTAGATTTTAGCCACCAAACATTATAAAGTTAAAGAAGCTAAGGATTTTACTACAGGCTCGAGCTTGCTACTTTACCTCCACTACATAGTAATTGCTCGTTGAGTATTTGTTGAATAAATAAAATAAATATTTGTTCTAGTTTCAGTGATCTGTAGGTCACATGGAACTTTATTTAGTAAATTGTGGTAAAATATATAAACATTTGTTATTGGCTAAGTCATCTATGCATTTTTATGTAGTAATTTATAAGCAGATTAATAATAATAGTGACATGTGACATTTACATGGACAATTTGAAGAGATTTCATGTTACTTCAATAATAACTAGAATAGAGATGACAATAAAAATCAATTTTTAAAATTTAAGGTCTAACTTTAAAAAAAATACTTTGTAGCACTAATACTAGATGATTTGTGTATATATAAAAGATGTACTGGAGCTGTGGCTCAGTTAGTTTGTGCTTTCCTAGCATCTGTAAGACCTAGCTTTTGTCCCCAGCACCAAAACGATAACAACAAAATTTTCATAAAAGGTTGATTAGGGGCTGGAGAGATGGCTCAGTGATGGCTTGCAACACAGTGGTGAGGACTTCAGTTTGTGTCCTAGTACAAGCAACAACCTGATGTGGCCTCTTGTGCCTGTAAACCCAGTACTGTGGGGAACAGAGACAGGATAGAAGGTTGCTGGTAGCCTGCTTAAAAAGCTGGAAGCTTCAGGTCTCAAGAAGAACCCTGCCTTAGAAATAAGACAGAGTGCTAGAGTATCAGAGGACATCTGCTGCACTCCTGAACACAAATCTGCACAAGCATGCACACACAGGGATTTTATTTCATTTGGCTAATAGTGCTAAATGTATTCTACCTATTGATTTAATAAGTTATCTAACTTTGTGATATGATACATTCTTCTACAGATTTATGGGACGAATGATAATAACTCAACAAATGGAAGAAATTGTAAGGTAAGAATAAATCGCATTATCTAATTGTTGTAATTAGAAACTGGTAGAGGGACCAAGAGTCAAAGGGGATTAAGTAAGTAAACAGCATATCATGGGAACCATAAAACATGCCATCAGCTAGTAGGTTTTAGCAGCAACACATCAAGATGAAACACTCCATGTAATGACATAAAAGTAATTACTTAGGTTTATATATTTGTATTTTTTATTAGTCCTTGGTAGAAACTTTTAAATGAAACACTGCTGATTTAATTCAGATGCTTCTTGAGTCATAACCCTCAAAGGCGAGTGAGGTGGGGTTCGGTTTGTGGTCCAGCAAGTGTACCATGTGTGAAGTCCAGGGTTCAGTCCTCCTACTACAAAAAAAGTTTTTTAAAAGATGCATGTTTTACATGACATTTAGCAAGTGTAAATCCCCATGGTTGGCTTTATTTCACAGTTACTGAGTACAAGCTAAACTATTTAGTGACCAATTCTGAACTGTTGTACTCATTCTTCTGTTTGGTTTTTTTGGCTGATTGATTGTTTTGATCTGTTTTCCAACGTAATTTGGCATCTAAATAAAAGGCTTTGAGTCAGTTTAAAGATTTGTTAATAGGATGAGATTACATTTTTACTTATGACTTGAAGGCTTAATTTAAAATCAAAATCTTAGAATCAGCTGTTAAAATCTGACTTTGCCAACTCTTTTCTACGGACACATTCATTGTGTATTGGCTACATGAAATAAGTCAGTAGCAGAAAGAGTTGAGCATTTTATTTTTTATTTTTTATTTTTTATTTTTTATTTTTTTTTGGTTTTTCGAGACAGGGTTTCTCTGTGTAGCTTTGCGCCTTTCCTGGAGCTCACTTGGTAGCCCAGGCTGGCCTCGAACTCACAGAGATCCACCTGGCTCTGCCTGAGTGCTGGGATTAAAGGCGTGCGCCACCAACGCCTGGCGAGTTGAGCATTTTAAAGTTAGATCTTCAAGATACGCCATCAAAATGTCAAGTATCAGCACTGATTCATGTTTTAATGAACATTATCATAGAAGCACCTTCAATAAACTTAAATAACACACACACACACACACACACACACACACACACACACACACACACGATCCCTGATGAATAACTGTGACTAAGTTTTATTTTTATTTCTGTATGGAAATAGTGAAAATTTTGTGAATACACCGTCTGAATTGTGTTCTAAAGTATTGTTTGTGTCTGGTAAAGGAATGTAGCACTTTGGAACACCCACTCCTGTGTGGCTGAAAGAAACTGTTCTTTACTGAAGCAGCTGCAGTTAACTGTTGAATTGTCTTCATTTGGAAGCTGTCCTGGTGTCATTTATTTTCATTGTTAGAACCAATACCATGCTAGGGAGTAGAAAAGAATAGGAAGGGAATATTGAATGGCATGTGGTTCTTTTAGTGATGAAAATATTTTCAGTCCAACAGGTATTTTGTAGCTGCTGAGTAGTTAGCCACCACACCAGTTCTGGGATAGCAGATATGAGTACTCACAAAAAAGGGCTCTGTCGTAAACAGAATTGTTAACATGTCCCAAATGCCTGGCCTTCCTGGTTCAGTGAATTTTTTTTCCCCACAGTATTTGGGTTTGCTGATATTTTCATAAATGATTCAGGTTTTGTTTGATTTGAATAAATAGTTGTTGTATGTTTCAGAAAAGCTTAAGGACTCTCAACAAAATAAAGACCTTTTAACTTATCCACGACAAACTCTTAATCATCTTGCTATCATTAAAAAAAATTCCTTTGTAGTTATTCCTTGTCATTTTATATCTTCTTTATGAAGAGAAATTCAAATGGCAAGAAGGTCTGTACCTGAGAAGTGTGCAGTACAAGTAGTCAGCTGGTGTTTTGTGAGCTTGCCTATAAAACACTAACATTTTATACATTACATTTTATAATCTAACATAATTGTAATTATGCAGAACTCATGCACTTATATTGTGCAGATCTAATGATAATTTTATGTTTGCACTGCATTTCAATTCTGTATTTTCCTTCCTTAAACTGATGGTTAATTTTGCTAACAAAATTTAAATTTTGTCTTCTGCTAAATTTTCTTAAACCATTGCTTAAATTTTAACTTTATTTTGTGTTTAAATTTTTTGACATTGATGGCTTTGTGACTTTATTTAAATGTATAATTTTCTTTTAAAGTCACAAGCTTTAATTAATTTTTTTTTTTTACTTTTTTGTCTATGACTATTTTGCCAGTGTGTATCTGAGCACCACATAAGTGCCTAGTACCTAAGGTCAGAAGTGGATGTGGGAGCCCTTGGAACTGGAGTAATAGATGGTTGTGAGCTGCCTTGTCAGTGCTGGGAATCAAACCAAGGTCCTTGGCAAAAACAGCCAGCTCTCTTAACTGCTGAGCTATCTCTTTAGTCCTACCATTAATCTTAAAATGACTGAAATGCCAAAGCAAATGTTGGTTGTTGAAGTAACTAACACTATTAGCCTAGGAAGTATTATAGTAGCTGGGATTTTTATTTTGTATGAAAACTGTTGTAACTAAGGTTAAGTACCTCTGACTGAAGATGCCTTTTAATTTAATTGGAAATTTAATATATTTAGTGCCTTTTGGGTTTCTTTTTCCCTTAGACCTCTGGGACCAGAGAGTCTCTTGCTTCGTGGAGCCAGATTAAAAAATACAAAAGAAATTTTTGGTTTGTACATCCTTAAGTTTTTTTAATTGTTTGTATGTTTTGTATTGGTGCTTTATATGAAGCTTTGCTCTTACTTCTGAGGTGCTGGATACTGAACTCAAGGTCTAACACACACCAGGCATGCACTTTGTATAGCACTAGACAGCATCCCCAACCTCTGTAAAGTAGCTTTGAAAGCATAGCATTTCATGGTTCTTTGATTGCATAATATTACTTTATTCAATGTAATACATGGTGATTTTCTTTTAAAGTCCATTTTAATATCGTACTTTGTTGTTGTTACGCTCTTCTTTGAGTAGTGCTAGATTCTTCCTCCTGTGTTTGTGGATACTTGTGAAGCTGATTATTAAGAAAATGATTCTAGTATACTTCAAGTAACATGGGTTCAAGTCAATGCTTTCAGTATCATGGTGGTAGTCCACACTTTTCACTTCTGTTACAATTATCCTTCAGTTGAATTAACAGCTCTGAACTCATTCATTTACATATTTTATGTATTCAACAAATTCTTACTGAGCTCTGAATGTGGAACCAGTACTATTGGGGACATACACTTTAATTTTCAAAAGGAAGAGTAATAGTGTCCTTGCCTTGTAGAAACCAGGCAGAAAGGGCTACAGATTATATTCTCCCTTTCATTTGAAATACTTCACATGGGTATATCCATAGTGATGAAGCACTAAGTGATTTCCAGGGGTTAGAGGATAGAAAGAAAGCAGGATACATATTTAATGGGTCCAGTATTTTTTTTAAAGTGATTAAAGTATTCTCTAGTTAGATAAAAAAGATGCCTTAACAAAATTGTGGTGCATGTGTAGATGTAACCATCTTATTAAATAAGAAACACAGAGCCAATGCAAAGATGAAAGCCCAAGAGGTCAGAGCAATAGCTAAGAGCTAAAAACCTTACCCTTCACTGCTGCTGTTGTCTTCCTCCGCAAAAGACCTACATCCTGTGTGTTTGTCCTTTTTATTGACTTTCTATTCTGCCTTCTCATTGGTTGTAAACCCAACCACATGACCTCCTCATCATTGCCCATCTATACAGACCTCCAGGTCTTCTGTGGTTGGTATTGAGATTAAAGGTGTGTGTCTCCATGCTGGCTGTATCCTTGAACACACAGAGATCTGCCTAGCTCTGCCTCCCAAGTACTGGAATTAAAGGCATGCACCACCACCACCCAGCTTCTGCTATGGCTTGCTATTAGCTCTGACCCCCAGGCAACTTTATTTATTAACATACAAATAAATTCACATTTCAGTACAAATAAAATATCACCATATGAATGTGTTATCACCACTGAACTATGCGTGTTAAATGGGTAGGTGGTAAGTTGTATGTTACGTGTATTTTGCCACCATTTTTTAAAAATTATAACAATGTTCTAACATCAGAAACCAGACTAAACCTCCAGGGGTTTTAGATTTTCTCATGGGACATTGAATCTTATATGACTTTCCAGGGGTAATGCTTTTTGTTCTTGTGACTTTAAAGTAGGGGTTGAAATTATGCACTTTTAGAAGCATTTGTGTATTTGAATGCTTTTAGCTGGGCCTACTGTTTGCCTCAGCATCCTCTTCTCTATTGTTTCATTCTGCTTTTTCTTTCCAATTGCATGGTATTAGTGCCATTTTTTATTTTAATTATGACCCCTGAATTTAAAGAATGATTTTTATTTTAAAATTCTAGGCAAATACTTACTAAAAAGGCACAATTGGCCTGTTCTATGTTGTTTCTTTAATCTTACTATTTAGGAATTTGAGGGAATTTTGAAGTTTGGTCTTTCCTAATTAGTTTCATTCCACGGTTTTAGTCCCACTACTATGACCATTTTCTCTCTCATCTCAGGATCTCACATAGAATTTCTTTGTGATTGCTTCATTTACTCTGAAGGACATTAACATTATTCTTCAGTACTTCAGGAATGACATATAGACTCTAGATTCTGGCATTCTGGGTCTTTAGCCTAATCCATCGTTTCCAGAACTTTGTTATTTTTTTTTTCCTGTTTTTACTGTTATTAACACCATTAGTGCCATATGCAATGGTCGTCCATTATTCCTACCCCATTCTTCCATTAGTCTCAACTCTTAATATCTTCCATCCAAACATCTTTTGTAACTGAGAAACAAGACTCCATGCAGGTTCAATGTCTAGATTGACAAAATTTTAGGTTTAGCAGGTCTGTAAAAGCTGTGAAAAGACTCAAGAAAAAGCCAAGTTATACAAACTCTCAGACAGTGCTTTTTCCGTAAAACTCTTGTGCTAGTGAGTACATTTAAAGTAGCAGTTTTATTTTATAGGTGTGGCTGTGTACACTGGAATGGAAACTAAGATGGCGTTAAATTACAAGAGCAAGTCACAGAAACGATCTGCAGTAGAAAAGTAAGAAAACTCTTTTCACATAATTATATGTGCATCTTACTTATATATGTATAACATATATAAAAATAGATATTTCAGGAGCTAGAGAGATGACTCAGTGGTTAAGAGCACTATTAACTCTTGCAGAGGACCCGGGTTTGGTTCCCAGCACCCACATGGAGGCTCACAACCATTTGTAATTCCATTTCAAGGGATCCCCATGGGCATTAGGTATACACACAGTTCAGTTACACACATGCACATAAAATAGAAAATAAACAAATCCTTTAAAAAGGTACTTCATATTACATATACAAAATGATATTAGATAAGGATGATGTCTTATGATTTTGTATATACTTAGAATTTTTCATGGTGTTGACTGTTAGTAAGTGCTAAAATATGACCAAATATAGTGTAGAATATGAGGCAATAGCGCGGAGTAAAATACTTTCTGTACAAGCATTAGGACCTGAGTTCTGATCCTTATCACCCACCTAGAAAGCTGGTTGTGGTGGCATGTACCTGTAACCTGCTGAGTGGAGAAAGGAAGATCCCAGGGGCTTGCCAGGCAGCCATTCTAGCAGACATAGTGAACTCTGGGTTTATTGTGAAACCCTGTCTCAAAATCTAACGTGCAAAACAATATAGCAACCCTAAGCTTCTACCTAACATGTATCTGTCTACATAGGCATGCAAAACTACATACAGGCACACATACCCAAGTACACAAGTAATGTTGGGCCATGTGTGATGAGGGCACTCCAGTAATCCTAATACTTGGAAGGCAAAGACAGGAAGGTCATGAGTTTGAGGCTACCATGAGTTACTGGCAATCGAAAGTGACCACAAGCCGGTCAGAATTGGCCGTGAATCCAGTCCTGAAGACAATCTGGGGGAAGGAGGGGCGAAGTAGAAGAAATAAGATGGGAAAGCCTTTTATTTCTCTACTGGGTTGAAGTGTCAGAGAAGAAGGTTGAAAACTAGAAGAGAGCCTAGAAAGTTAGGGGGAAATATGTAAGACAGCATAGGAAATAATCAACTGGACTTTCAAACCTGTACATAAAAGCTGCCCAAATTTTCTTATATGACTGAAAAACTGTATAGGTACAAGTTGGCAAGAAACAAGCAATAGAACCCAGAGGATGCTGAGAAAAGGAGAATTTTACTTTGACCAATTGCAGTGAGTGACATTAGGTGCTTAAAGTTAAGTGCCCACTAGAACAAAAATTAACGCTCTTCTGAGGAACATGAAAAGCTAGACTCCACAACCCATTATTTATAATACCCAGGGAGATCTTTTTAATAAAGGCGAGGGAGTGGAGAGGTTTTGTCAATAAGAGGGCATGCACCAGGCCATGGGCTCAGTCTCCAGTATCCAACAATAATGATGATGATTGAATAAATATGAAAAAGGGTTATAAAGACTTTTAGAAGTCATAGAAATCTTCATGATCTGGACTTAAGCAAATAATTGATGGACAAAAAAACATAGCTCCTAAATGAAAAAATTAATGAGTTGAACTTCATCTAAATTAAAAATTGTCTACTTCTGATAGACGAAGTTCACCTAGTTTCAGATTAGTTGTTAGAACTATGTATGAGTCAAAGCATAGGTCTTCATAATCTATATACTCATTACTTCAGTATCATTTCTCAAACCCTCTTGAAAGTATTGAGACAAGTTACAGACTGGGGGAAAACGTTTGCAAACCGCAAACTTAAACCAAACAGTAACACAAAGATTCAGTTAGATGTGGTCAAAAGCACATTTCATCAAAGGAGTTGTAGGTGGCAGGTGAGTAGACAGAGATGTTCAGTCAACATCATTGTCTGCTAGAGAATATCATATCACAACTGCAGTGAGGTTAACTCACTGTTTAAGGAACAAGACTAAAAGAGTAGTAATAATAAGTGCTAGGAGGAGGCGGAGGAACCAGATCTCATACATTATTGTTAAGAATACCAGATGATGATATTCCCATTTGGAAGATAATTTGGCAGTTTCTTTCCTTAGCAGCTTTAGTTATAACAGCAAGAATCTGGGACACTGGCCCTTGTCCATACATGGGTAACAGTTGATCAGGAAATCTGGTACAGCTATGTCATAGAGCACTATTCAGCAAGAAAAAGGGTTTATATTACTTGCATCACCCAGAACAGGCTGCAGAATTGCTATCCTTGGTGATAAAGCAAGTTCAAAGATTACATACTGTATGTTTTGAGTTGTAGAACATTTTCAAAATTATAAAACTGTATAGGTTGGGGACAGATTATTGCTGCCAGCGGACAGAGATTCAGTATGGAATGAGTGATAAAGAGTGATAGGAGCTGGAGAGTGGGCTCAGTGGTTAAGAACACTTGTTGAGCCAGGTGGTGGTGGCGCACGCCTTTAATCCCCACACTCGGGAGGCAGAGCTAGGTGGATCTCCGTGAGTTCGAGGCTAGCCTGGGCTACCAAGTGAGTTCCAGGAAAGGCGCAAAGATACACAGAGAAACCCCATCTTGGGGGAAAAAAAAAAAAAAAAACAAAAAAAAAACCCTTGTTGATCTTTCAGAGGACTTAGGTTTGGTTCCTGCACCCACATGGTGCTCACAACCATCTATAAGTCCAGTTCCAGGGGATCTGACACCCTCTTCTGACCTCCACAGGCACCAGGCATACATGTACATACATAATATATGTGCAAAACACTCATACATATAAAGTAAAATAATTTTAAATTTTATTTTTTTGAGGCAGAGTCTCTCTGTGTAGCCCTGGATGACCTGGAACTCACTATGCAGACCAGGCTGGTCTTGAACTCACAGAAATCCACCTGCCTGTGCCTTCCAAGTGCTGGGGTTAAAGGCATGTGCTATACTACTCTGGTCCCTAGATAAATACATTTTTAAAAGTGATAATGGGATAGTTCTTCATAATGGTAGTTAATCTGTATGTGGGATTAATTTCATACCAGTAAGATCAGATTTTGTAAATGTGAAGCTTAATCCAGTCTAATTCCCTGTAACATTCCTGGTTCTGATACTGTACCATAGCTGCATAAGATGCCACCATTGAATTGGGGGTGTAGCTCAGTGGTAGAGTATGCTGCATAGTGTAAGCCTCCAGGTTTGATCCCTATCATCACTCTTTTAAAGATGTTCTTTAAAGAGGTATTCATGAAATTGCAAATAAAAGAATCACAAAATCAAAACAACAAAAATTAAATGGGTAATAGGGATGGAAGAAAGGATGAATGGAATAAGAATGGTAGCATATTGACAGTTGTTGACACTATGTGGTGCACATGAAGATTCATTATTGTGTTCACTTTATTTGTATGTTTGAAGTTTATTTATTGAGATTTTGGAGTCAGTTATATGATCATGGGTTATTTGTTTTATTCTTTTGAACCAAATACTTTGATATTTTAAAATGTGAGCAGCCCTGTAATTGAAGTACCAAATAATACCAAGTACTATGCCTAATACATGAACATCAAGTAGAAAAAGTGACCCTAATTGTGCCCTTACTTCCCATGAATTCACACATAGTAATGTGATCGCACTAGACTTTGTGTCTTAGGAGAGTGGAAGAGCAAATATTTACATAGTTAGGATAAAGCTTGGTTTTGACCAGTTGTAGATTTCTATTGTGGTCTCCATCTGCTGCAAAGAGAAGCTTCTTTGATGAAAGGTGAGAACTACCTTCTCTGTGCATAGAAGGAAAGGTATTCAGAATGAAGCTGGACATTATACTGGTTTTGAAAAATGATAGTAGTAGGTTCTTCTCTAGGGTTCATGACTCATTAGCTACAGATGGCAATGTATACAGTACTGAATTGTACTGTATGAATTCCCTCCTACTGAGCAGGCCTTAAGTCCAATTATATGGTTGCTGGCAAACCCCAAGATAGAAGTGCCACCATTGAACTTTTGGATATGTCTTGCTGTGCTCTTATGATTCCTAGGCTTTCAAATGGGTTGCTGGTAATTATGCTTTATTTAATGGTCATTACAAAAAAATAGACTGTCCTTTAAAACAGCTATAATAAAATCTTTTTGAAATATTTGAAAGTATTAATTTCAAAGCAAATGAACAGAATATATTGATATGTTTATATTCTTTTTCTTGCTTTAGATCAATGAACACATTTTTAATAATTTATTTAATAATCCTTATTTCTGAGGCCATCATCAGTACTATCTTGAAATATACCTGGCAAGCTGAAGAAAAATGGGATGAACCTTGGTATAACCAAAAAACAGAACATCAAAGAAATAGTAGTAAGGTATTGTGTGTTATTCATAATTCAACTTTAAGGAAACTCTTTGGGGACAGTTGATGCTTTGAAGGGAAGGACCATGGTGACCTCATCACAACATTGGTATTGACAAGATATCTTTGCAGAAGAGCACTCAACATGTTAGCAGTGGTGTACTTTCCCTGGTTTAGGGACTAAACTTTTTTGTGTGATCCTAGTAGCATGGTTTGAATAATTAGATCACAAAAATTTATATGTCAATACATGTGCATTCCACTTCAGTATTACAAATTAAGTGCTTTAAAATTCATGTATTTTGTACCTTATAAATGAATTAAAGAATACATTTATTTTCATTCATGTCTGAATAATTCAAGAAGTCTTAACAGCCTTGATGTATCAAGAGATTTAACCTACAATTTTGGCAAATAATCATTCTCTAACTTTCCATTTAAATTAAAATGTACATATTAGAAACCATCTTAATCCCAGGAGACAACAAAGCAGATCAGTATAGGACCGTGTTCCAGTATCATTTATATTCCACAGAGTGCATATTGAAAGGCAGCTTTGCTATGCTATTGTTGCAGTCTGTCCATGTAATCTGTGTTCTTCAGTTTCTATTTCTTAAAAATTCTCCCTAAAATTGTGTTTCAATATGTCTAGATTACACTCATGTCTTAGTCACCCATGATCTTTGAACAGTCGTCATAGGATGGCTAGAACACTGGACAGAGTATGGTTGTAATTTGGTGTTTAAATCATGCCAGATAATTTCGGACAAATAACAAATTGAGCTATTGGAATTTAACTTTTACTTTAACCAGTAATCTAAGTAAATGGAAATGCAATATTAAAACAATTTAATCTGCCGGGCGGTGGTGGCGCACGCCTTTAATCCCAGCACTCGGGAGGCAGAGGCAGGCGGATCTCTGTGAGTTCGAGGCCAGCCTGGGCTACCAAGTGAGTTCCAGGAAAGGCACAAAGCTACACAGAGAAACCCTGTCTCGAAAAACCAAAAAAAAAAAAAAAAAAAAAAAAAAAATTTAATCAATGAATTTCTATTCGTGCTATTAGTTTACCTCAGAATACAGTCGATAGTTGACTTAGACAAGAACCTTCTGATAATTCTTATGTATGTTATCATCAAATAATCATTTCTCTTTTTTTTTCTAGATTTTGAGATTTATTTCTGACTTCCTTGCTTTTTTGGTACTCTACAATTTCATCATTCCAATTTCTCTATATGTGACAGTTGAAATGCAGAAATTTCTTGGATCATTTTTTATTGGCTGGGATCTTGATCTGTATCATGAAGAGTCAGATCAGAAAGCTCAAGTCAATACTTCTGACCTGAATGAAGAGCTTGGACAGGTAAAGATGATCCTGAAATTTTCTTTTTATCAGAGAATTACATGTAAAGAGACTGATATAATAGAAAATATTATAAAGCTGATACCAAAACACCTTTTACTTTCCTTCAGCTAAATTCTACTCCCACTTTGTCTTAGTGTCTTTCTTCCATTATTTACCAGTATATTTCCATATGATATTTTATCACGATTTAAAATTTTTAGACATTATCAATTATGGGATAGATCAATTACTGGGGCTAGAGAGATGACTCAGAGATCAAGAGCACATACTTTCAGGGGACTTCAGTTCCTAGCATTCACATTGGGTGTGAATTCAAATTCAAAATTACTTCTAACTCCATCTCCATAAGATCTAATGCCTTTGGCCTCTACAAGTACCTGCAGTTGTGTGCATTACCCACAACTAGACACTCATGCATACACATCATTTAAAAAAAAGTAAAGTAAATCTTTAAAGGGGGGGGGGGTAACTATCACTTTATCATTTTGTACACATACCCAAAAACTTGCCTACTTTGCCTACTCTGATGTTGTTATAATTTGACATCTAATAAATATTTATTTACATTATGACTCATAATACTGTTTTCAAACTCTTACTTCCTAATTTGTTCTTTGTAATACTATAAACTATATTTTCTTTATTCATTTTATCTCCCCTGGTGTTAATTGCTATTTCTTTGCTTGCTTAGCTCAAACAAGTCTTCATGAATTTATTTACCATCTCTGTGTATTCAGATATGTCAGTTAATCTAGGATCTGCCTGCCCTACCCCCATGTGTAATTTGGGTTTGGCTTTTTTTTTGTTTTCTTTTTGAGATGGGGCCCCACTTCTTGCTGCCCAAGCTATGCTTAAACTTCTGAGCTCATCCGGTACATACCTTTAATAAAGCCCAGCACTTGGAAGATAGAGGCAGGTAGATCTCCATTAGGCCGGCCTGGTCTCCATAGTGAGTTCCAGGACAGCCAGAGTTACATAGTGAGACCTTGTCTCAACAAAAAAACAAAAAACAAAAAACAAAAAACAAAAAAAACCTGACCTCAAATGATTTTCCTGTCTCAGCCTTCCCAGTAGCAAAGACTACATACGTAGACTGATATTGGGCCCTGTGCAATAAATTATTTTACACAGTAGACTTCCTGTGTCTCAAGTATGTCGTTACCAAGACTATGGATCTTAATTTTCCCACTTTAGTTCTTTGATTTTGTACATTGATCTTTTATTCTGGAATCTCATTGAACTTATTTATTAGTGCTAATAAATTTTTTAAGTGAATTCCCTTGGATGATGTTTTTGCAAGGTCATTTGATATGCAAATGGAGATAACTTTCTCTCTTTTTTTCCCCAATCAGGATAACTTTCTTCTTTATCCTGACTAGAAATTTCAGTACAGTGTTGAATAAAATATAAGAACAGACAACCTTGTCTTATATCTCTGCTTATAGGAAGAAATCACTCAGTATATTACAAAGTTTTGAAGAAGCTTTTTATCATAGTATGTTAAGTATTTTTAATCATAAAGAGTATTGGATTTTTATCAAGTGATTTTTCTGTATCTGTTGAGATGGTCATTTTATTAATAGAATAAAGGATACATATAAGTCTGATAATTTGTACACATTAGGCTATTTTGGATTCCTTAGATGTCTCATATACTTGTGATATATAATCCTTTTCATATGTTTCTGGACTTAGTATACATGTATGTGCATACATATTCATGAGAAATACTGGTCTGTAATTTTGCTTTTGTGTTCTTGTAATAGCTGCCTCCTTTTCTACTTTTTTAGTTTTATTTTTATTCTTGTATACATGTGTATGTGTTTATATGTGTGTGTCTGTGTGTCTCTGTGTGTGTGTGTCTGTCTGTCTGTCTGTCTGTCTCTCTCTCTCTCTCTCTCTCTCTCTCTCTCTCTCTGTGTGTGTGTGTGTGTGTCAGAGAGAGAGAGAGAGCTGTCTGTCTGTCTCTCTCTCTCTCTCTCTCTCTCTCTCTCTCTGTCAGAGAGAGAGAGAGATGTGAGGGAGTACATTTCTGTGTGTATGAATGGAGGCCAGAGAGGGTCCTCCCCATCACTCTCCACTTTGTTCCTTTTGAGACAAGGCTTTCCCATGAACCTGGAGCTTGAATTTTTCAGCTGGTTGGCAGTCAGCAAGCTCCATCGGCTTCCCTGCCTGCCTCAGTGCTGGGATTACTGTTACTCAGGGTGATATTCTTGTTGGAGCAGCAATTGTTCTCTGGAGCCCCACTGCCTCTCTTTTCAAAAGTCTTCTCTAGCATCATTACAGTAGTACATCAGATCCTCACCATAAGTTCACTGTCAAGACTTCACTGGTGTATCCTTTCCTTTCAGAGTTCATTTCCTTGGATCAGCCTCCAAGAGTTATAAAATAATTTGTCTTACATACCTTTTAAAACATGTTATTTTTAACAGTTATCATTTTCACTGTATTTGTTTCCTGTCATCAGTTTTAACTTCCTGTCCTTTACAGACTCCTTCTCATCTCTAACACATTATTTTGTTCCTTTCCCTGTTTTTATACTGTTTCTCTTGGCCCCTGTTCACTTTCTAGATTAGTAAGCATCCCTTCTACCCTTAATAAGGTATTTAAAATAATAACCATATTATTTTAAATGTACTTGTCCAAGAGATAGACAAGAAATTCTTATACCTTATTCTTACTCACCTCTGCAAATCAAGGTGTCTCAAAAGATATATATGTAATGTTTAAATTTTTTTTTGTTTTTTTGTTTTTTTGTTTTTGTTTTTTCGAGACAGGGTTTCTCTGCGTAGCTTTGTGCCTTTCCTGGAGCTCACTTGGTAGCCCAGGCTGGCCTCGAACTCACAGAGATCCGCCTGGCTCTGCCTCCCGAGTGCTGGGATTAAAGGCGTGCGCCACCACCGCCCGGCAATGTTTAAATATTTTAATTTGTTTTATTTTCTTTACATCAATAATAGCTTCTTAGATTGTAAGAATCTCAGCTTTAGTATATTGATGTTAATAGACTAGAAAACAGGAGAAAGTTTTTATTGTTCAACACTGACCCATGACCACAAAGGTTTCTTTTGTTCTCTGTTTCACTAGGTGGAATATGTGTTTACAGATAAAACTGGAACACTGACAGAAAATGAGATGCAGTTTCGAGAATGTTCAATTAATGGCATGAAATACCAAGAAATCAATGGTAGACTTGTACCTGAAGGACCAACACCAGACTCCACAGAAGGAAGCTTGTCTTACCTTGGTGGTTTATCCCATCTCAACAACTCAGCACATGTCGCAGCCAGTTCTTCCTTTAAAACCAGTCCTGAAAGTGAAACTGAACTAGTAAGCAGTTTTCCAATTAGTGATTACGGGTTCCTATGAATTAATTTTCTTCAATAGATGCACTTGGGAAGTTTTTATCAGTGAAACAAGAAGTCTGCATTTGAAATCGATGTCTTGATTTAGCACCATGAAATACTATTCTGGGACTGTAGTTACAGCACAGTTTAGCTTGTCATTATTCAGCTTCTTCAGTGCTTTAGCTTGGTAGTTAGTAAATGCTGTTACTGCCTCGAAGTGAAAAAGAGAAAAAAATAAGTATTTTATTCCTTCTTTCCAAGTACATAGTCTCCCTAGTTTGCGGTTTGTTTAGGCTTTCTAAAGAGATGCACTTATACCAAAGGTTCCTAAAGCAGTATGAGATTGAAATCTCAAATTTGCAGTTTTCACTCAGGCAGCCCAGGTCATTAGCACTTTTGTTTTAGCTCTCAGGGTCTTAGGTCTGGTTTATGTCCTATATAGTGTTGGGAAAGTGCTTAGATCATTAATATTATGTTTCTACAGATCAAAGAACATGACCTCTTCTTTAAAGCAGTCAGTCTTTGCCACACTGTACAGATCAGCAATGTGCAAACTGATGGCATCGGTGATGGTCCCTGGCAGTCCAACCTAGCACCTGCGCAGCTCGAGTACTATGCATCTTCACCAGATGAAAAGGCTCTAGTGGAAGCTGCGGCAAGGTGGTTGAGCCTGATTCTTCTGATCCTCAGAGGATACTCTTGAAATAAATGTTAGAATATTAGAGAGCTGTCATGTAAAATTCTCAAATGTAAATTTAATTTTTTTAAATGATCTTGTATAAATTTTGTGTGATAAAAGTTGTGAAAATACTTTGCATTGTTTTGGATGTAGTCTGACCTGTCAAATTCTTAAGAATAGTATCATATTATTCAAAGGCAGTACTGTAAATACACCTTGAACTTTTAATTAATGTACCTTCATTCAAACCAAGTTATAAAGGTATAGTGTGAAATATGAAATATCTTCCTTTAAATATTGTTATTTCTTTGTTCCTCTTATTCCTAGAGCTGGTATTATATTTATAGGCATTTCTGAAGAAACTATGGAGGTTAAAGTACTTGGAAGACTCGAAAGGTAAATTCTTCCAAATATGTTATAGTCCACAATAAGTATAAATATAGGATAGGAATCAGCAAATTATGGCCTATAGGCCAGTTCTGTCCTCCAGTCTATTTTTGTATAGCCTACAAGCTATGCTAGATTGCATTTAGAGTTGTTTAAGAAAGAGAAAGACAGTAAGGGAGAGAAGGAGAAAGGATAAAATAGCTGTGGTAGTATGGAGGCTATAGCCAGATGGTCACAAGTTAAAGACCTACCTAGGCCATAGAGTGAGGCTAGCCCAGGAAACTTAGTAAGACCCTATCTCAAAATTTTAAAGAAAGGCTGGGGATATAGTTTAATAGTAAAACACTTGCCTTGCATACAAGAATAAGTCCTAATATACAGCATACATACATATGTATGTATGTATGTGTGTGTATGTATGTATATGGCCTGTAATGTCTAAAATACTATCTGATTCTCTACGTAAAACACTTGCTAACCTTTTCTCTAGAGTGATGTCAATATATATCTCATCACAATTACAACAGTATGCTGTGTTTTAGTTTACTGTTTACTGAGTTTCCTTATAAATTTATATTAAACACTTGAGGTTGAAATTCCATAGGTTATTGGATGAAGAAAACTTCTTTGTGTAATCTTTTGTTTTTGAAATACTAGTGATCAAAAGTAGTGTCACAGGAATATTAGGCAAGTGCTATGCCATAAAGCTGCACCTCGGCACAGGTTCCCTCGTTTTGTCTATGAATTTATGCTCAAGCATTTAGGAACTCCAGTCTACTTAACCTCTTCCTGCTGTACAAGTTAGTCCATGGCCGTGGCTGTGAACCTTAATCCCTGCTATGCGTTCCCATCCTAAAGACGTAAGGCCTGTTCTGCAGCTACCTTCATGAGGGCACCTGTGGTCAACTTACGAGCATTCCTTGCTTACATATCCTTATTGAATTCTCTCCTGGAAAATTTTTCAAGCCCCTCTTCAGTTATCCTCCTAAGTTTCCTCTCAGTTCTCTAAAGAGGCATTTGCTCCCTGATCCTCCATCCTCACACCTGCCCCAAGTTCAGAATCATTGCTGACTGCTTAAAGGTTGAATTCAAAGATGTGTTAGGACAGAAAATGATGGAGAATCAGTCAGCTGGGCAGAGCTGGGTTCCTGTCCTTCTTTACTGCTTACCAGCTTATTGGATATTAATCTCTTTATTAGTCTTTATCTTGGCTTCTGTGGGAATTAAATGACCCAAGGTCTGTAAAGTATTTATTAGTTGTTGAGGACTTAATGCCATCTCCCTTGTGTCTAGTAATATTATTGATAATTTAGAGCCTATCCTCATAATATTGCAGTTCTAGTATCTTACTTTACACTTGTATTTTATCCTTTATTCTTTCTAGATATTCACATTATTACTCTAAAAATTAAGGATTCTTTTTCTTAATTTTTAGGTACAAATTGCTTCATATTCTGGAATTTGATTCAGATCGTAGAAGAATGAGTGTAATTGTTCAGGCACCTTCAGGTAACCAATCTAAGCTTTTATGAATATTTACTTACTTAATATAGAGCTTGATAACTAGTTATTTTTCCTTTTAGGTGAGAAGCTTTTATTTGCTAAAGGAGCAGAATCTTCAATTCTCCCTAAATGTATAGGTGGAGAAATAGCAAAAACCAGAATTCATGTAGATGAATTTGCTTTGGTAAGTACAGATAACTATTATTTAAAAGTGAAAAAAATAGCCGGGCGGTGGTGGCGCACGCCTTTAATCCCAGCACTCGGGAGGCAGAGCCAGGTGGATCTCTGTGAGTTTGAGGCCAGCCTGGACTACCAAGTGAGTCCCAGGAAAGGCGCAAAACTACACAGAGAAACCCTGTCTCGAAAAAAAAAAAAAACCTTCAAAAATATATTTGTGAAACAGTTGAGGTTTTTTCTTTTTAATAGATTATCCAAGTTCTGAAAATTCTGTAGCTCTTAGTTCTTTTGCATTAAATGTTGGCTCTTTATTCTTGTTGTAAAAGCTGATTTTTAATCTGATAACATGTAATTCTCTTCTAAAACCTGTTTTGCTAGGGACTTCTGGTTGTGTGTGCCACTCAAACTGTGCCCATAGCAAACATGAGTGTTTGGGGCCTAGAGTGAGGCACAAATCCTTGGGTTTCATCTCCTGTCTCTATTCTTTCTCTTTGCCTCTTTCCCATCCTTGCCTCTCCTTCTCCGTCCCTTCCCCTTGCCCCAGTATATCCTGCCCCAGTTTATCCTGGGCCAGTGGTGCAAAAGCAGAAACAAAACAAAAGCTTGAGTCCAGAAATTCAAAAGCAACTGCGACAACATAATTAGACTCTGACTTTTAAAGAAAAAAAAAGGGAGGGTGTGGCTCAGTGACAGAAAGGGACTTAGTAAAAGAATATGGAGTTATTCCAGGGATGTGGAGAAACTAGAGATTGTACACATTGTATAAATCACACAGCCTTTAAATGGTTTGGCAATTTTTCAAAAGATAAAAATGAAGTTATAACCTGACCTAGCTATATATACCTAAGTGGTGTACACCAAAGAGAAGGGAAAAGATATGACCACATATGATCTAATAAGTGGATGCTTATAGTCCAAACTTGGAAAAGCCTAGATGCCCAACTGATGAGTGGATAAAATATGATACAGCTATGTAATGGATATTGCTTAGTCATTAAAAGAAATGAAATACTGATACCTGATATATGCTACAACATGGATGAACATTAATAAGATTGCTGAGAGAAGCCAGTCAAGAGAGACTACACATTATATAAAAGGTCCAGGATAGGCAGACTCATAGAAAACAAGTGAGTGGGTGCCAAAGGTGCTAGATGAAGGGAAGAGAAGGGAGTGTCTACTAATAGATAAGGAATCTATTGGAGGTGAAATATTCTGATAGTGGTGGTGATGGTACAATTTTGTAAGTATGCTAAAAAACACTGCATGGCACTGTTTGAGGGAGTTAATTTTATGTAATGGGACTCTAATTTAAAAGGAAAACTATAGAAGCCTCATCCAAAAGCAGAAAACCTGAATTCAGGATCTCTCGTGCCTAGACTTCTGTGTGTGTTGCATACTTATCTCTCCTTACCTACTTCTGTTACTGGTTTGTGGTTGCCTATAATCTGCCTACTATGATTTCTAACAAGCAAAGGCTTTATTGTCTAGAACAGCATCCACATAGAGTTGTTGCAGAATGAATTAACTAGTACATATATTAATATCTGATGGCATCTTAAATGTTAATTATGAGAGTGTTATTTACAAATCAGGAAATGGCACTATTTACAAATTTGTTAAATGTGGTCATATGGTATTTTAAAATCTGCTCTTTTCAAGTTCTATTGCTAGAACATTTATTTTCAGTTTTTCTAAGGAAAATAGATAGTAAGGAGTACTTAGATTTATATGCTAATTTTCAGAGATTAAGAAAATTGAATGCCCATATAATCAAGTAGTCAAATATAGATTCCTAAGTTTGTGTAGTTCCAATTCACAGGTGAAGATAAAAGACGATTTAAAGTTAGATTGTGAATCTGGCTCTTAGAGGTATATGCCTATCTTTTCTTTTTCTTTTTTCTTCTTTTCCTTTAGAAAGGATTGCGGACACTATGTATAGCTTATAGACAGTTTTCAGCTAAAGAGTATGATGATATAAATAGGCGCCTATTTGAGGCCAGGACTGCCTTGCAGCGACGGGAAGAAAAATTGGCTGATGTCTTCCAGTACATTGAGAAGGACCTGATATTACTAGGAGCAACAGCAGTGGAAGACAGGCAAGTATCAGAAGTAGG